CAAAGTTTCTTCTAAGCATTTTTGCGTCAGTTGTCATCCATCTAAGCATTTAAATGAGATGTAGTTTTCATTCTTCTCTTTGGGCACCTTTCCTGATTTGTACACTTGGAATGGATCTGTTATTTTCGAACAATTCAACTTCATGATTGCTGAAGATCATGTATGTTAGTGGAGTTTTTACAGTGTCGTAGTGTATGTCCTTGGGAGCTCTACTAGCAATGGTAGAGAACCATGGCTTTGTTTTGCCTCTTGGAGAATTAAAACACTTTGAAAATGGGAAATGCATATGTACAAATTTATACTTCTTGATGAGTAATACTGAACTAATCAACTTCCATTCTGTATCACCATAGCAGCCTTGCCACATCACTTTTATGATATTTACAAAAGGCAACAACCCTTATCTTTCCTATTACTTAGCATGTTTATGCATGGATATGTGACTGTAAATCTGTTGCTTATATGTGTATAAGAAAATTCTCAGATGTAGACATCCACACTTTTTTTTAATCCAGACCTCCATTAGGTGATGGTAATAAACAACAAAACATATAATTTCACACTTTTCAATATATTAACTTTATGTCGGAATTTGTCTTTTAGTTTTTGATTGATAATGTTTGATATACTTGCTTCTCTACTCCATCAAATTTATTTTTGTTTGGTGCTGCAGTATTCTTTTATGTTGCTATTTAGTTTGTTGGTTGACTTATTGATTATGCATTCAATTGATGGTAGGAAAAAATGATAGAGCTGCAAGATGAAACACAAGTAGGGGAAAGTGAAAAAACAAAAGCTGAAATATGTGAGGAAGTTCTGGGTAAAGCTTCCGGATTTAACCAGAATTTTGCATTTTCACAGACTGAGCATCAATCCACTGCAGCAGAAGCAGAGTTAAGGTGTATTGTGCAACAACAAGAAAATAAGATTAAACAGTTGGAGGAGCAGCTCATCTTATTTAATCAACAAAAAGAGAAAATAAAAAGCCTTGAACACCAACAATTTGTCCTATTGGAGATGATGAAGCAGCTAACTATAGCCCTTGAACTACAGCCATCTGATAAAGCTCCAACTCGATAGCCATTGCCATCTCCATCTGATGAAGACTTGTCCTCATTAGCTACAGCTATTTCAAAAACCGTAACTGGTGACACTTGACATGCTAACGGTATTGATGGTTATTTTTTTGTTGTATGGGCAATAGATATTTTGACATGGGGGTTGAACCATCTTTTTAGGATTGTTTGCATATATATGTTAGATGGTGTACATGGGGTGAGCATTTTTTTATTAGTTATGCACAGATAGATAGGTAGTAGGGAAAATGTGGGTGCATGCTGTTTTTTTTTTTTCTTGTTATGCACATGTGATAGTGCATTTTGGATTTTTATTGTTCATCATGCATAAAAATCCATGTATGGACTATATATATAAATATGAAAATATGATATTTGATTTAGTGATCAAATTTGTATATTGTGTCAATTATTTTGTTGATGTTGAATGTATAATGTAGGTCAATACGAAATGCTCTAAAAAAAAACACATTCTGCAATTAATTTTTAGTAGCAAAAAGTAATTTAGTTTAATTGCTTCCACAATCAGCGTCTAAAAAATAGTCGCAAAAACCTTTTAGATTTTACATTCAGCGTCTAAAATTATTATAATTAACCACTAAACTTTAGTCACCAAACGATACATTCGTCCACTAATAAAATAGTCGTGAAAACTTATTGGATTCCACATTCAGCGTCTAAAATGACTATAATTAACTACTAAATTTTGGTCATCAAAAGATACATTCGGCCACTAATAAAATAGTAGAGAAAACTTATTGGATTCCACATTCAGCGTCTAAAATGACTATAATTAACTACTAAATTTTGGTCATCAAAAGATACATTCGATCACTAATGAAATAGTCATGAAAACCTATTGGATTCCACATTCAGCATCTAAAATTATTAGAATTAACTACTAAATTTTAGTCACCAAAAGATACATTCAGCCACTAATAAAATAGTCGCAAAAACTTATTGGATCCACATTTAGCGTTTAAAATAACTATAATTAACTACTAAATTTTAGTCACTAAAAGATACATTCGGCCACTAATAAAATAGTCGCGAAAACCGTTTGGATTCTACATTCAGCATTTAAAAGTATTACAATTAACCACTAAATTTGGTCACCAAAAGATACATTCGTTGACTAATAAAATAGTTGCGAAAGCCTTTTACGAAATTATCCTTACACCTTTGGCGTCTGATTTTTGTGGCATTCGCAACAAATTATTAGACACTAAAAGGTACATTTTGCAACAAATTGATTAGTCGCTATACAATTTTACCAAATTACCCTTTACCTATTAGCGTCTAAGCTGTGGGACTATTTTGACCAGCAATTAGCGACTAATTTGCTAGTCGCTAAAAAAAAAAACTTTCCGAGTCTAAACAAAAATTTAGACGCGCAAACAATCTACGACAGCGATACTACAACTAAGGGGCGACTACGAAATTTAGACGCGAAAAATGGCTTAGCGTCTAAATCTGACTTTCTGCGTCTAATTTTGCTAGACGTCGAAAGGCATTTTTCTTGTAATGCCTATTTGTTCACATATGGAGTTGCGTTCTACAAAACAAACTATAGCTGCTACTTCTTCAAACCATGCCGAGATAATAGCTATCCACGAAGCAAGCCAATAATGTGTTTGGCTCAGATCAATAACCCAACATATTCAATAATCATGTGGCATCGATTACAACAAAGAAGTTCTTATAACATTATATGTAAATAATACTGCATGCATAGCTCAGTTAGAGGGAGGTTATATCAAAGGTGATAGGATGAAACATATATAACAAAATTCCTCTTCACTCATGATCTTCAAAAGAATGGTGATATTGAAGTTAAACGGATTCGGTCATGTGATAATTTGGCAGACTTATTCACTAAAGCTTTACCGACTGCAACATTTGAAAAGTTGATATACAATATTGGAATGCGTCGGTACAAAAATCTTAAGTGATATCATCATAAGGGGGAGTAAATACGCACTATACTCTTTTTCCCTTGACCAAGGTTTTATCCCACTGGGTTTTTCTAATAAGGTTTTTATTGAGGCAGTTTTTAAATGCGTATAATACACAAGAATAATGCACTTTTTTTCCTTCACTAGGTTTATTGGGTTTTTTCCTAGTAAGATTTTAACGAGGCATATTCTTTGTGTAATGGACATCCAAGGGAGAGTGTTGTGAATAAATGTGGATGTCCCTTGCAATTCTATAACTTCTTAATCTTTCATCTTCTGTAACTCTTGAACCTTTCAAGTTCTACAACTTCAAACCATTTTAATAGCTTTTAATTTCATTTATAATATTTCATAATCTTGAGACTATAAATACATGAACTGTGAAAGATGATATATATTCAACTTTGAAATAGAAAAAGCATTGTAACTATTTCCTCTCAATTATCGTTTCTCTTCTTTTAGTATATTTTATAATAGAAAATGTTAATTTTTTTTCTTAATTCTATTTTTTTAATATAATTTCTTTTAATTTTGGGGTATTCAAGTATTTATGTACATCAAAATGGAATTTACTAGATGGAAAACTTCTTAAGGTGTTATATTGCGACTTTATTTATTTCGTCGGGATAGAGGTCGTTGGTAAAAACAAGATTTCTTGTAGTTAAAGTATATATTTATTTTGAGTAAGAGAATAAATTAAAATGGAATTAATATGAAAGTAAATACCTGATGTAAACACAAGAAGGATGACGAGGAGTAGGATATAATAAAATAGGAAAAACTTTGCCATAAACTTAATTTGCGTGGTGTGGAAGTGAAAGCTATTGTGCTATGTTGATAGTATTTATAACAAATGAAACAGAATTAGGAAGAGGACCACTTATAGTTCTGATATTAATTAGCATTAATTAGAATATTTTGTAAGAAGTTATTGAGTTACTTCTTAATGAGTTTTCATTTATGGAGAAAGCGATAAAGAATCTATAGTATAGATTGATATTTGATATTGAACAATGACAATTTTTTGCGCCATTGATTGAATCAACCCAAATTAGGTCAAATTCAAGTGCTGTAATACTTTTAATTAGATTTTGAATTATAAATGCAATCTTATTTAAAAAGAAAGCTAATTTTATCACCTAAACATTTCACATGCTCTTAATAATTAAGGTTCATGTCTTTTTGGACATTTTGAGTCCTTATTTTTGGAGGATGATGAATGGATTTGACCATTTGGGTGTTGAGGAGCATCTGCATGCATTCGAGTTTATGTTGTAAAATTTGGTGTATCGAAAAGCTCTCAAAAAAGATTAAATTAGAGAGAGAGAGAGAGTGAACAGAGAGAATGATTTCCTCGAAGCAAATAATTGAGACACTACCTATAGTAATTGGATGGGTTTATAGTAAGTTACTAAGTTATTAGCTAGACATGCATAGTTAAATGAGCTTTTCTATGTTTAATTAGGATATTATTTTGGGTAAGTCGTAATATGTTTTTTATAATTAAAACTTTTAAGGGGGTAATTAGTACTAATTAATTATATATATATAGTTGGTTGGCTCTTCTGCAAGTAGTGACGGTTACACAGTTGATATCTTCTTTTTGAGTCATTGAAATGGAATAATCAGAACTTACATTTTATGAATACTAGAGAGATCGATAAGAACAATACAATAATTAAGATAGAAATTATTATGTTATATCTATTATATATATGTACGTATTCATATCATAATACGAAACATGTTAAATTACTAAGATATTAAATAATAAAAACTCTATAATTACTACTTGGGATAAATGTAATAAGGAACCCATGTACTTGTTTATTCATATACAATATAAAAATACTTCTTAATTAATTAAGTTCAAATTAAAGCAAAGTGACTTAATTGCATATTCTTCTTCTCTAAAATCATTTTTCACTCTAATTAATTCTTTGATTATTCTCTATTTTTATAATTTCTCCTACATGATATCTTCATAGAAATACTTCTTGAAAGCTTCCACATGCCCAACTTGCAAACACAATGCAAGAATCAACCCTCCATCTTCTTTAGGATTTGGCAAAATCAATGAATCCCCATCAAAATCATGACTCCCAGGCCCCATATAAACCTCCTTCCCCCACCCGAAATCAATGCCGTACATCGGCAGCGTCAACCAGCTCACCACCCCAAGATTAGGGTTTCCATAAAAAGGACCTTCAGTGCCCCCCAATGCATGAAGATCTTGAAACTTTGTCAAGTCTGGTTGATTCTTCAAGAACTCAATCCCTGACTTCACAAACTCACTAGTCACTGTCATTATCGCTACCCTTATTTTGCTCGCTGCAAATCCTAATGGCTTCGAAACGAGCTCACCGGCGCAGCTGACGGCGATGACATCAAGGGTGGCATTCCCAAAGAAGCCAAGTGGCAGTGGTGGCTGAATGCGGCTACGTGAATCGACACATATACCTAATGCAGTGGACTGCTGAGGCATGTGCCCTCGCGCCTTGCACGCACAACGCCATACATGTGCTGTCACTGTCTCGTACCGGCTAAACGGGCGAGTGCCGCTGCCGTTTTTGCCTTCATTAGCCATGTTTTTCAGCTTCTCCACTTGAGATTTGCTCAGCTTCAACATGGCTACGGTGGTCTTCTTTTTGCGCTCTTCCAAGTTGTTTGATTGCCCGAGCAGGAGCGGCGGATGGTTAAATTCTTCATGATCATGACCAGACACTGGAAGAGAATCAACCGGAGGCTCTCCGGCTCTCATGACTCTTCGGTCAAGAAACGGTGCCATACTTAAAGGCTCACCACGGGCGATTCTCGCCCACTCGGATATGAAATGAAGCGCGCTCGGGCCATCCACAACAGCATGAGAAATAGTGAAACTGAGACTAATCCCACCACATTGAAACCTTGTAACTTGCACAAGCAACGGCGGGATTTCTTGAATCGGGATGCTATAATCAACAGAAGGAACAAGATATTCATACTCCGGGGAAGGCGAGAAATCACCTAAAGATTCAAGTTTAGCTTGAGACTCAGCCTCAATGAACCGAACACCTTCCGCATTGCAGTCGAGCTCTAGACGACCATTGCCTATCCAACGCAAACGGCCTGCAAGAGGGTAGAACGGGACTAAAGCACGGCTGAGTGAATCTTTCAAAGTATTGATAATGGAGTTTGAATCGAGTTCTGGGGAGTTTTGATAGAAGTAGATGGTGGGAACGTGAGTTATGGTGCCAATTTGATCCCATTCTGAGAGGGGTAAAGGGCCAGTCCAAGTTGGTTCAGCTGGCTTAACCATGAAAGAATTCTTGAAGTTCACAGTTGCCATTTGTTGGTTTTGTGATGATGGTCGTTGGAGAAATTAAAGATATTTATATATACATATATATATATAATTAAATGGGCGAAGTTTAAGAGTAGAAATGGAAAGAGAATTGATTTCAGTTACCAGTAATGCGGAAAGAAGTTTGAGAAAATGAATATATCATGAACTTGGCAGTTCCCTGGAAGAGTAAGAATTTATGGGGAAATTCTTGGCAGATGAATTAAATATTTTCAGATTATTAAAAGTGGAATAAACATTAATCCTGATAACAAAAACATAGAGCAAGGAAAACGTGGGCAATATTGATACATGAATTTATTGCATATCTAACATTTATCTTGATCAGGAAAGTTGGAAGGTTTACACAGAGATTGCTCTTGATTATATTAGTCTGAGTAAATGTGGAAAAGAAATTAAGGCTTCCGATTTGGTTGCATTTTGGAAATACTACTTTTAGTATTCTCAAAAAAGTTAAATAGTAAAATATCTAAAAACTTACAATATTATTCAATATTATTCAACTTTTTTTAAACCCCCTAAATTTGTTAATTTAATTAAATACCTCTAAATATTTTTAAAAAAATTACAAAAACACCCCAACAATCCACATTTACCAGATTCTGGCCACCACTGCCGGAAAATAGCCGAAATCTGGTAAGATGGCGCACTACCGGCTGAATCTGGTTGGTAGTGCCCTGATCTAGCCTTTTCCAGCCAGATCCACTGTGGATTTGGCCGTAACCAGTCGGTAACGACGGCCAACAAACGGTCGTCGTTGACCATCAATGACGACCGTTTGTTGGCCGTCGTTGAATAGAAAATACGGTCAGATCTAGCCGTAGATCTGGCCTTTGTCGTGGATCTGGCCAGAAAAGGTCATATCGGCGCTCGACTGGCAAGATCCAACCGATCATACGCCGATACGGTGACTCTAGCCACCCTCCAGCGGTAGTGGCCGGCTGTCCATATTTGAGGGTGGGTTGGGGGTGTTTTTGTTAACTTTTAATGTTTTATTATAGGGGGTATTTTGTAAAAAAACAAACATAGGGGGTATTTAAATTTATAAATCCTACATAGTAATACCCGCCCAATTCAACTTTTTTCAAAAAACGTTTCCCAAAAACACAAAATTGTGAACCAAACGGAGCCTAAGTTTTATATATAATTTTGGACAAGTTGTAGATTTCATGCAGGGGCGGATCCAGCCTCTGTCATGGCCCACCCTCAAATTTTTTTTTTAAAATACTAATGTGTATAATTTCTAGATTTTGACCCACCTAACAAAAATATTAATAGACAAAAATATTAATGTATAATTAATTTTTATTTTGACCCACCGTAACAGAAATGTCTAGATCCGCTACTAATTTCATGTATCCATTAGTGTATATATATATATATATATGATTAAATTTTAATGAAAATTTGGTAGATGTTAGAAGCATGACATTTCATTTGTTCTCATTGTTATAATTCTAGCTAACATTATATATACGACGAAGACAAGCGTCTTGATCTTCATCACCAAATGAGGGTTGTCTATTGAAGGCGATAACCATCACCCTTGAGAGATGATGGCTCATGACCTGAGGAGGATCATCCCAAGGAGGTGACTACCATGTCCTAAAGGGAAACCTCTAGAGGTGGTCACCTATGGTCAAAGGGGAGTCAAATTTGGGGTGGTCCCGTAGCCGACAGGGGAACATTCCATCAATCTCATTCCATGCGAAGTTGGTCGAAGGTTATGAGTGAGGGCAAGGACGAACCTACGTTAAGGCGAGTGGGGACTGGTGACTCCTCATTTCATGTAGTTGTGTGTTTATTCCTTTGTATTTATGATTTTTAAGTTTCTTGTTAATCTCAATATCAATTATTAAAAAGTGATGATGATTTATAATTTTTAATATAACAATAAATATTAAAATTTTAATATTATTGATAATTTGTTATTCAATACAATTACAATTATCTTCACTGCGTTTCCATGTTTTGAAAATCATCATTATCAATATTGTTAAACACATCAAATAAAAAAAAATATATATATATATATAACATTAAATCACCCAATCATCTTTTGTCACTTAAGTTTGTATAAAAAAGTTGTGGGTACAATATTATTGTTTTTTCTTTTCTGTTAATTTGGTTCAATGACCTTAAATTTTTTTTTTTAAGATAAGTTAATCTACAGTTTCCTTTTTGAAAAAAAAAAAAATGGCAATTCATTTGTTGTAACCCATTGTTCTAATTTTATCTAACATTATATATAAACGAGTACTAATAACCCTCCTTATGCCATTTATAATATACATTTTATTTTATTACAGATAGACACGTAGTAAAAGGAGATTAGTGATTGTTGTTAGCACTTCTTTTATATATACATATCCAAAATTTCATTAATTACCTAATGAGGGTTGTCTATGGAGGATGATCACCCATAACCCAAGGAGAAGAGGGTGATCACCATTACCCCAATGGGAGTCACCCTTGAGAGATGATCGCCCATGACCTAAGGGGATCATCCCAAAGGGGTTGATTAACATCATCCCAAAAGAGGAACACCTCTAGAGGTGGTCACCCATAGCCAAAGGGGGAACACCTTTGGTAGTGGTCCCTTGGCCAACGGGTAAACACTACATCAATCCCATTCAGTATTTCATAGTGAAAATGGTGTTAGGAAAATATTAACTAGGATTGGAACATGACTGAAAGAAGGCCAAGATCAGGTTTGGACTCGTAATTTAACGTCAAATGGGGCGAGTTTAAAATTCATAATAAAAATGGTATTAGGGGACAAAAAATATTCATTACATTTTTTAATATTCTTCTAATTAATAAAGACGTATAATAACCTCCAGTCATCTATCCATGGGTCTATCCATGGCCAAGATTCAAGAAAAATAAGAGATCGATATTTTTATTTTCTTTGTTTATATAAATATGGTTAAACAACATGTGATCAAATATAAATATAAATGATTATTGATCATAACACAAATAAAGGCAATGACAAGATTGATAAGGAGGAAGAGTGTAGCAGTAGCCATGGCCATCTTGGTCTCCAGGATATTTAGCTGCACAATCTGCATTACACTTATCGTTTAGGCAGCCTGAGAGGTAAATGCCCATCCCCACTTCGCAAGTTTTGAGTTTTGGCATGCATAAAAGCATTTGTGAGCAATGCTATGCTTGCATGCATGCAGTTCAATAAAATTGTCGCCATTTATGAAAAATATACAAATCTTATATAATTAACCATATATAAGCTGATTAAACATGGAGAATGAAAATCTTCTTTCTTCATCTTCTTAGAAAATGATATGAAAAAGTAAACAAAAAAAACAGAACGCATATTACCTGCAATGAGTATGAGAAGGAAAGGTGATGAGAGTTTGTTCATATTGTAAGAATGGTATCCTATACACAAGCAGTGAGCAAGGAAAAAATCGGCATGCATGTATTTATTATAAGTGAGCAAATTTGGAAGGTTCATTCAGATATTAATTAATTGCTATTATTTATGAGTTTGAGCAAATCTGGAAGCCATCAATTATGCTTCAATATTAGTTAAAGTTTAAAGATTGAAATTTTTTGTGTTGATTAGATTTTTTTAAAGAATTGAAGAATGGATTTGGCTCATTAATACTGATATTTAATTATGTGAAACTTGTCAAATTTTAGCAGTAAGTATATTTTTAATGTATCGTTATTTTGATATTTATTCTTTATCCTATAATATAATTAAATGTTTGGAATGAGCTTTACATTGTATTACCGAATGTAATATATATACACATAATTTGATCAACATTCTATAATACCAATTGGTATTATTTCCAAAAAATAAAAAAATAAAAAAAAAATAAAGAACTAGTATTTGAGAAAATTAGAAGATAGTCGATAGTTCTACGTTATAAACATTGTATATTTAATATTACAAATCCATCATTAATATTTAATACGAAACCAGTAAACAAAAGAGCTCAGCAACTGCAAACCAGTGTTTTAATAACCAACTCGGGGTGAAACCCAGAAAATTGGTCAAATCCCAAGTTGACTGGTTTAATCGGTTTGACCGACGGGTCAAACCGATGTCCAAAAGTTTGAAATATAACAAAAAAACCCCTTAAAATAATATAAGTCCATACAACTTTGAAATCTTGCAAAAACACTCCAAACCCACCGCCAGCATCAACAAACCAAGGCAAATAGGGCCCGTTTCCGATGATGACAACACGTCCCTCAACCTCCTGTCCAAAACCCATATCACCCCTCCCCCGATTGCCTTGCCAATTGTTGTTGCCGCCGATTTTGTTTTGCACTTTCCAGTTGATTCACTCATTAGAAATCACCTCCATCACCACCATTGCACTCACTAACCCTTCCTCTTCAAAAGCCCCAACATTCTGACCTTCAATTAATCACCAATCACCATCCCAATTTCTAAGGTTTTCAATTAATAGGAAAATTGCTAACCCGGCCGAGTTTTAAAACAATGTTGTAAACACAATTTTTGCATGATAACTCCCATTTCTGGGAATAAAACTTTGGTTAAAACTTAAAAATCAAGATTAAACTCGAAGTTCATATTGAAAAGTGGCAACTGAAAAAAAAATCACACTTTTATTATCAGGAAAAAATAAAATAAAATAACTAGTTTTTACACTCTGCTGTACACATTTCCATCCTCAGTTGTACAATACAGCCTAAATCGTCTGGCATTTCCAAGCTCCTCCTAATGACTATAGAAATCAATCTCTTTTTTTTTTTTTTTTTTCAAAGAAAATAAATGAGAAATGAGAAACAAAAATGCAAGCTCACAACAAACCTGTGACCATAAAGAATAACAAACCGACAGCTAACTCAACCCGAAACAAAAAACAAAAATAAAAATGCTAGACATGCAAACCATCAGGTGAGAAAAAAAAATGGGGGAAAAAATCTGAGNGATTAACATCATCCCAAAAGAGGAACACCTCTAGACGTGGTCACCCATAGCCAAAGGGGGAACACCTTTGGTAGTGGTCCCTTGGCCAACGGGTAAACACTACATCAATCCCTTCACTATTTCATAGTGAAAATGGTGTCAGGAAAATATTAACTAGGATTGGAACATGACTGAAACAAGGCCAAGATCAGGTTTGGACTCATAATTTAATGTCAAATGGGGCGAGTTTAAAATTCATAATAAAAATGGTATTAGGGGACAAAAAATATTCATTACATTTTTTAATATTCTTCTAATTAATAAAGACGTATAATAACCTCCAGTCATCTATCCATGGGTCTATCCATGGCCAAGATTCAAGAAAAATAAGAGATCGATATTTTTATTTTCTTTGTTTATATAAATATGGTTAAACAACATGTGATCAAATATAAATATAAATGATTATTGATCATAACACAAATAAAGGCAATGACAAGATTGATAAGGAGGAAGAGTGTAGCAGTAGCCATGGCCATCTTGGTCTCCAGGATATTTAGCTGCACAATCTGCATTACACTTATCGTTTAGGCAGCCTGAGAGGTAAATGCCCATCCCCACTTCGCAAGTTTTGAGTTTTGGCGCAGGCTTGCATACATAAAAGCATTTGCATGTTGAATTGATGTCGCAATTGCCTATGCCTCCGGGATGTTGTGATGTGCATCTTGGACCGCAATCGCCACCACATTGACCTAAATCTTCTGAACATATTTGCCCCTCGACTGTGAGCAATGTTATGCCTGCATGCATGCAGTTCAATAAAATTGTCGGCATTTATGAAAAATATACAAATCTTATATAATTAACAATATATAAGCTGATTAAACATGGAGAATGAAAATCTTCTTTCTTCATCTTCTTAGAAAATGATATGAAAAAGTAAACAAAAATAACAGAACGCATATTACCTGCAATGAGTATGAGAAGGAAAGGTGATGAGAGTCTGTTCATATTGTAAGAATGGTATCCTATACACAAACAGTGAGCAAGGAAAAAATTGGCATGCATGTATTTATTATAAGTGAGCAAATTTGGAAGGTTCATACAGATATTAATTAATTGCTATTATTTATGAGTTTGAGCAAATCTGGAAGCCATTAATACTGATATTTAATTATGTGAAACTTGTCAAATTTTAGCAATAAGTATATTTTTAATATTACAAATGTATCGTTATTATGATATTTCTACTTTATCCTATAATATAATTAAATGTTTGGAATGAGCTTTACATTGTATTACCGAATGTAATATATATACACATAATTTGAACAACATTCTATAATACCAATTGGTATTATTTCCAAAAAATAAAAAAATAAAAAAAAAATAAAGAACTAGTATTTGAGAAAATTAGAAGATAGTCGATAGTTCTACGTTATAAACATTGTATATTTAATATTACAAATCCATCATTAATATTTAATACGAAACCAGTAAACAAAAGAGCTCAGCAACTGCAAACCAGTGTTTTAATAACCAACTCGGGGTGAAACCCAGAAAATTGGTCAAATCCCAAGTTGACTGGTTTAATCGGTTTGACCGACGGGTCAAACCGATGTCCAAAAGTTTGAAATATAACAAAAAAACCCCTTAAAATAATATAAGTCCATACAACTTTGAAATCTTGCAAAAACACTCCAAACCCACCGCCAGCATCAACAAACCAAGGCAAATAGGGCCCGTTTCCGATGATGACAACACGTCCCTCAACCTCCTGTCCAAAACCCATATCACCCCTCCCCCGATTGCCTTGCCAATTGTTGTTGCCGCCGATTTTGTTTTGCACTTTCCAGTTGATTCACTCATTAGAAATCACCTCCATCACCACCATTGCACTCACTAACCCTTCCTCTTCAAAAGCCCCAACATTCTGACCTTCAATTAATCACCAATCACCATCCCAATTTCTAAGGTTTTCAATTAATAGGAAAATTGCTAACCCGGCCGAGTTTTAAAACAATGTTGTAAACACAATTTTTGCATGATAACTCCCATTTCTGGGAATAAAACTTTGGTTAAAACTTAAAAATCAAGATTAAACTCGAAGTTCATATTGAAAAGTGGCAACTGAAAAAAAAATCACACTTTTATTATCAGGAAAAAATAAAATAAAATAACTAGTTTTTACACTCTGCTGTACACATTTCCATCCTCAGTTGTACAATACAGCCTAAATCGTCTGGCATTTCCAAGCTCCTCCTAATGACTATAGAAATCAATCTCTTTTTTTTTTTTTTTTTCAAAGAAAATAAATGAGAAATGAGAAACAAAAATGCAAGCTCACAACAAACCTGTGACCATAAAGAATAACAAACCGACAGCTAACTCAACCCGAAACAAAAATTAAAAATAAAAATGCTAGACATGCAAACCATCAGGTGAGAAAAAAAAATGGGGGAAAAAATCTGAGTTTGATCATCAATCAAGTAAACAAGCTTCTTGGGAGCAGAAGCAGCTAAAAATGCACTGATGCTGTCCCTTTCAATCCTGAGAAATTTTGTCAACTGCACGAAGAAAGAAAGGGCGGATAATTAGAATTATGTTTGGAATTATGATTAAGGAAGTTAAAGACGATCAGCTTATCACAAAAGAAAGAATTTGTACAGATTTGCAAGAAAGCTTTCTTCCACCTGCAAGGCTAAAACCTCAAATGCAGGGGGCTGAAAAGATTGTAGTCAGGACGAGGAGATTTTAGAACAATTGAAGGGCCATTTTAAGTTTGTTCTGTTTCCATTTCGGCAACTTATAGAAGGCATCTTTTGTCATTCCGAATTTCTCTTTGAATTCCCCTGATGACAGATAAGTCTGCACCCATTGAGTGTAGAACTGTAAGAACAAAATCAAAGACGTAACGCGAAGAAAATATGATGCCCTATTTTAATATCATACCTCTCGCTTGGTCACATCAATTTCTGTCACAGGATCCTCTGATGATATCTTAAGGCGCTCATAAGGATAAATTGGCAGACCTTCTTCATCTTCAACTTCACCCTCTTTCACATCTTCTTGTATAGTGAGGGACTCTATTCTGTTGCTCATACCGTCCTCCTTAGAGTTTGTTTCCGGTTTTGAGTCAACCGACTCTCGGGTTGCTACAACCATGACAGAAAAAATACTTCAATCTTAGTAGCATATAAGATATGTACAATAGGAATTGAACTGCCAAAGATTAAGTGATTCATAACTCATGGACAACATTTTTGCTTTGGGTAAAGGGAAGAAAGCGAAGATTGTGGACATATGCAGGTTCAATCGCAAACATTTTCTTTTTATTGTCCCTGAATAGAGTGGTCACCCCTCAGGGCGTTTTAAATCTCATGGTGGTCTACTGGTCTGTAACTTCATCTCTTTTCACTATTTATGTTAAATCTAAAGTTTCTTAAAAAAGACTGAAAAAAAGTAATAATTATTAAACTGCTTCTGAGGTACTTAACCAATGCATACCTTTAACAATTTTGGGTATAAGAAATTCTCGCGTCGGTGGTGATTTTTCAAAAGAAGCAGTGAGAGCAGCTATTGCAGAAGATTTGGAAGCCAATTTTGATGAATCTGGAGTCACAGATTTAGGATAGATCTTCCTAACCATTGGCGGTGGAGTCGAAAGGTTCCTATTACCAGGGCTATCAAAATTAGCAGCTAGTGCATTGAAAGCTGGGGACCTACCCCTTACACGAACTCGATCAGGACTGAAAGACATGCTTCTAGAACGCTGCTGTGATTTGTCTGGTACAGCAGACCTTCCACCATATGATACAGGTGCTCTGCGCTTGGGTTTCTGATCATACATCAGATAAATTATCAGAAAAATAGCTCTAACAGAAGTATGGCAATTAGAACCCAAAAATTGAATGTGAAAACCTACATATACGAGTTGGTCAAACATAAAATATCTTATCATTCACTACATTATGCATCAAACAATTCAAGTTTTAACAAATAAGATATTAAACTTTGAAGGTGCAAAGCAAGCTTTATGTCCACTTCAATCATTTCACAACTGTTCTGTTTATAATTTACTTGTCAAAACAGCATGTCTTCTATTGAAAATATCAAGTTCAAAGGTGCGAGGCAAGCTTTATGTCCACTTTAGTCATTTCACGACTTCTGTGTTTATCCATCCCTTTTCAAGACAACATAAATTTCTACTATTGAGCACGTATAACAAGAAGCTTGAGCAAGCATCGATTATCTAATTAATGAAAAAAATTTAGGGTTCTTCAATCTAGCACTATAACCAAGATCAAATGTCAAAGCATTAACTTCAAAAACCGCATCCATTGTTCTCCTTCAAATGTTTTCACGATTACTTTCTTATGTTTTCTCTTAAAGGAACTTTATAAACTCTGAACTGAATAGTTATCAAGTGAAAATTTCTTCAGTAAGATTGAATTAACATGTAACACAAAAAAGTGTAAGTATCATCCACTGACAAACAAAAATATGTAAAGCAGTTAGATAGGACTGTAAGAATTCAAAGTGCAAGATGTACATGGACAATAGGAAAGTGACAACTCAAAATCAAGACGAGAAAGAAGTTTAACAAACTGAAGAATAAATAAAAACCTTACATCTAGAACTGGAGTACCACCATTTTTAACTATTGCTAGCTTCCTCTGAAATGAGTTTCCATGCATCTGCACCAAACAAAAACATTTAGTCCCAAGCAAAGTTCAGCGTCACAACAATCAATTTCGAATAAAGCCACTTACATTAGATTTAGTGGAGTCCCATGTAAAGAAACGTGTGAAGAAAGGTGGCTCACTGCCTTCCATGATAATATATATTGGAATTTCACGAGATAATTTTTCCAAAAGGAAATCATGCTCAATAAATTTCTGTTGAGAAACCAGAACAAAAAAGATAAGCATGTGAAAAGCCTACTTACCAGGTAATAAGAATCATAAAGACCCAAAATATGGACAGCAAACCAAAATCACAGCCTTAAGTCCACTTAAATGGTGTTCTAGGGTTAGGTAAGTTGGCATTTCATAGAGTTTTAGGACATAACAGTTACAAAAATGATATATTGGCACCCAAATATTGAGTTACTTGTATGGCCCAAAAACACATTCCTAAGAAGTATGCTGCAAGGTGCACCCATCAGAACCAAAGTGCTACTATTGATAATACCCAAGCGCAACTTAGTCTTACCTCCCCAATGGTCAGAGCCTGCAATTTTGTCTTAGTGTCAACTTGTTGCCCAACCCAGACAAAGATCTCTGAGTGACAATCCAAGATGAATATATCTTCAGTCATTAAATCATCCTGGGCAAAGTTATAGATCTCTGTCACCTGCATCAACAAGTTTTAACTTAAAGCCATGTCGAAAAACGTCAAGAATAATTAGCTATGACAACAGGACACAGAAGAATGTAAAATCCTAAAAAAATGAACATTTTCAAAAATGATCAAATCTTATTATTAATTAGCATAACTGAAAGTGAACTTCAAATTATGTATGTCTGTTTTCACATTACCTTCAGATTTCCTGCAGATCAGCACGCAATTTAGCATTAATCATCACCCATGAAGATAGAAAAAAAAAATCAGAAAGAATTAGACAATATATATTACCAATATAACAGAACCAGAAACAGATGGAAAAACATCTATCATTAACAGAAATATGAATCCATACCTTTTGAGAATGTGCAAGAAAATAGGTGAGGGTCACTTTCAGCCTCCCTTACAATCTTTTGACTTGCATATTCAGACTTCCCTCCTAATAATTCCCAGAATTGCTCAGACTCCGTACCTTCCTTTTGTGGCTTGCTCTGTAAATTTGGCTGCACAAAATAAACAAAATGTGAGAAATATATAATCAAGGAGCCCTGACTTGACAAACAAGACAAGAAATTCAGTGAATCTCCTAATGCATCAAATGAATTATTTAGCAAGAATCAAAGTGCTCTCAACTAAAAACTTGAATTTAAAGAGATTCACTGCATACTTGGGTCCCTATATACATTTTTTTTTTTTGTAATTTATTTCATGGTAATTTGTAGCCTTCTTCAACTTTTTGTTCAAACTGAATCAAATTTCCCAAATTAAAATATAATTTAGGATACATATTATACCTTTATCAGATCCAGCTGCCTCTCAACAATTTCCTGGTTCTCCGAGGTTGTAAGACTTCCAGACCACGTAAAGACAGTGGAACCACTATGTAATATGTAACAGTATGCGGAATTCAATGATGATGCAACCTGATTGAAGTTAAGAAACATTTAGTAACAATTTTAGACTACAATTTACACTGTAAGTTGAAAATCAGCAATAGAACCACCAGTTCGGAAATATAAAACATTTAAAAAAATAGAAAACAACTCCAATGACATATATGTTACTATAAAGTAACTATTTTTGCTATGCTGTTGAAATTAAGAGTAACTAAGAAGGAGCAACAACTGAGACCGACAATATTTCAAAACAATTGTTAGTCAAAGATAATAACTGTTAACTGTTAAATTATAACTTGAGGAGTGTTCAGTTCGTAAATAATTGATTAGTCGACACAATGAAATTTGAACAAGCTTTAAAAACTGCTGGTCTCAGCCAGGAATAGGAGCTTCAATATTAGGGTTAGAGAATAAGAAATCGAAATAGAAGGCCTGTGAAATTGGTTATTTTGGAGTTATTTCTCCACTCACATCTTATTGTATTTATATATGAGATTAGTAACAAAAGTTCAATAATACCCTATCTTAAAAAATTGATACCCTATTAGACAGAAGTTAAGGTTTTCCTCCGCAAACCAGTGCCCCCATGCAACAATACATGTAAGTGCATTTGTGAGGCCAAAAACAAAATTATTCAATAAGGGATCCATTTCATATGTTCTTGTGAGGAAGAGTACAAAGACTGGGTTATAAATTGCACAAGTGAATCCAAAATTTTCAGATATAATGACTTGGAAGCTTAACAAGTGGGTTCAACCTATCATTGCAAAATTGTGACTAAGGACCCAAGAAATAAGAGAACTTTTTTCTCGATATATATTAGCTTTTAAAATCAAAATACAAACAAGAACGAACAAAATGTTTTAAAGCATTTACGACAGATGTGGAGAACTTATCTAAGAAGCCCAAGATCAATTTAAGATTTTGGGTTCTAATAAGAGCACAACTTCTGCACATCATCCGGGTTCACTACCCATAACCAATAAATTTGAATATGTAGCTTTTTCTTATTTTTTCACTTCAAACACTCAATTGTAACAATATTGTTACTTTACAGATAATTAAAAGATATTTGAGAATTATAGGGTTCACAGTCAAAATGCAATCAAATATTGCAGGAGACATGTACATTTAAGTAAATTATGTAAAAAGCAGAAGGTTACACAGCCATCTACCTTCTCCAAAAACCAAAAGAAACGAAGACAATGTTATGTGCATCAGTAAAATAAGTAACTAAGAGGGGAAATAAGTTGCACTTCTGCTTCCAAACAAAAATACTAACATAAACACATTTCCCAATCAGTTCCAGAAGATATAGACAAGTAAAAGAAAAGGATAACATACAGCTTCAACTTGTATTGCTTGCATATTATCAGGTCCAGAACCCTGAACCCGAAATAGAGCAACACCATCTTCTTTGTATGTCTTATCTGGGATTTCCTTCTCCGCAATGAAATTCTTGTATCCATCACTAAGACCACCCTATTAAATTTAATATTGGTTAACTTTGTAGTCAGAAGAACAAACTAAAACCAAATTATGAATTTTCAATAATGAAAACTAAGCTTTTCAATCAAAATCCAACAAACCTTAAAAACGATAAAGCTCTGAAAAATTGTAAAGAACTGAATCGGTTCATGTCCTTCATAAATGCGGGCCTAGAAACCAATAACAGCATACATAAGAATAATGAGACATAGCAAAGATAAATAACTTCATCGACATAATAAAACAATCACAAATCAAAGAAAATTACCTGGGCAGGCAGAAACTTCATTGACTCAACCATCTTACTTGCCAGTGAATTAGCAGTAGCTCTATCTTCCTATGATTGAAAATAAAAATGTAGTAAGTAAATAATCTAACAAATGCAAGACAGTGAAACAACAAAAAAATGAATTATGTTTGTGCAGATCGGTGTTTGTTTCAGCTTGTTCACCCATACACATACATATATGAATTCATGTAGTTCAAGAAAAGAACAAGAGATATATAAAAAAAATCCAACAAAACAATGAATCAGACTTCAGCAATATGCTATGTATGGGAGCATTGTAAATCTTCTATTCTGATTATGTATCTAAAATCTGGAGTACCATTTTGTTAGAATTCTAAAGTCCATATGGAGACAACATGAAAAACAAAAAGGAATAACTCATTCAAATTCAGTATCATAAGCCTTTAGAACTCCAGCACTGTCGATCAAAAGATTGAGTTCAATGTGTAGTTGACATTTTAGTTTCTAACATCATCACAAGAGAATTAATAATTAACCGGTTTCTGCAAACAACATCAGCTAGTAAAAGAATAGTTTCCTACTCCAATTGATAACCAGGAAAGAATAATTCAAATAATACAGATCCAAAATTACAAAAGAAAACTGTTAATCAAATGGAGATATAGTAGACTGCCAAAATCACCAATACATTCATTAAGGTATTCCTCATTATGTTGTAAAGTAAATGTTTGGTGCCATCAATCTACTACGTGTGTGGTGCTGGTGGCGAGGGCGAGGAGGAGGAGAGCTTTGAGAGGAGGTCAGCAATAAAATAATTACAAAAGGAAAATTTAGCTCAAAAAGAAAAAAAATTCACCTCTACACTCTGCTCCCCAAACCAAGTTCCAATGAGGTATTCCTCATTATCTTCTCCAGGATAAGAATACTGGAAAATAAAGCAATCCCCACTATAAAATTTTGACTGATCGGCAGCTGGAAGGAGAATCTTTTCCTGACCATTTACACGCCAAACCTGTGCAGCCAGGAGGGGAAAGAAACATAAGAACAGGCCTCCTGCCAAGCTAAGAATCCCAGCTTCTCAGCCAATCTCATACAGCACTGTATACGGAAACATAATATTGAAAGATAGGAACCTGCAGATTTCCGGTGCAATCAATGAACGGTTGAGGTTCTTCTTTAATAGGCTCAGCTTTCAACAAACCCCTAACATTGACCCCCTGACGTTTTAAAAGAGCTGCAAAATCAATGAAAAGATAGCAATGATAAGCATCTCAAGACAATGATTATGAGAGAATATAATGATTATAATCTCCTGGAATATTTTATATTGCAGGGCAAAAGCATTTCAAGAATATTTGTGAACTGACCAGCAACTTTGCCTCTACCATCTTCAGAGACAGTCACATTAGTTGTCTGTGGCCAGGAATCAAACTTTGATTTAAACATAACTGTCTCAAATCCCTCAATTACACGAATTATGTGAGATTTTGATCGATCGGCACTTTGGAGTAACTCCTGTTCAGAGAGATCAGAAGTAATACGAGAGTGAATTGGGTATGTCTATCAAGATTTAGCAAAAACGTATGTGACAAAGGATTGCAAATTACTTCTGCAGCGCCACTGGCACTTTTTCTTTCATCAAGAGATGTAGTTCTCCCCATCCACACAAACATTTCTATGCCACAATCTAGAAGATAGCACTTGTTTGTTTCTAACAACTCCCTAGCTAAGGAATCAGCCTCAACAGGTTCAGCCTGCCCCTTGTTAACACTTAAAAAGCAAACATATTTCTGTCAGAACTAAAGCACTATCGAGTCTAGTAACACATTTTTAAATGTAAGAATTCATTTCACTAACTGCATACTGCTATCTGATTTCTATCTGTTTTGCAACTTTTTCTCTGAAAATATAAAAGAAAAAGATTTTATTGCTCATATCATGGAGAAGTTATTCAAATAAGAAATTAAGAAGCAATATGTACATTTTATGCTCTTTTTTTATTTTTTTTAATAGAAATAACTCCATACATACAGAAACACATCTTCCAATTTCTATAAAATGACCACCTAAAATAAATAAATAATAATTAGATGGAGATAAATACGCAAATGCAAACACACATATATTTAAATTTCTGTTAAAATGACAACCTTAGACAGAAATAACGAGACACCATTGCCAAAGAGATCAACCTAACTTGCAGTAAAAAAGGAAAGGACAAACAAAATGATAATTACCAGTATAGCTTAGTAGTATGAGAATCAAGAGTCTTATCCTCATCAACAGCCGTTTTCCTGGGCAGTGGAGCAAAGCCACCAAAGAAACCCCAAAATTCTCCAGTTTCAGCATCAGCCATCAACTTTCCATCCTCTAAATTAAAGGTAAAACATTAGGCTCAACAAAGAGAGCCATTTGAGTGTCAATCGCATACTTTAAATCCAGAAATTAACTTACCAATGGCAGCTACTTCACATTTTCCATCATGATAAGTATCTTTAATGTACTGTACAACTTCAAGAGCCTTTGCTCTCTCTTGAATAGATGAATTGGAACCATTAAATTGAAATATCTTAGACTGAGTATCTAGAATAAATATATCATCATGACTGAGAGATGATCGAGCAAAAGGAACCTGTCACCAAAAAAAAAAAAAAAATTTCACAAAGAGAAACCATATATAGATAGTCATCGTGTAGAATAGTCTCTAATCAGTACAGAAGTTATGCTTATAGACTTGCCTCTTTTACATGAACAACGTGCTTTCCTCTGCAAACAAACATACGTGTTTTATGTTCTTCAGCCTCAGCATGTTTAAAACCAGATGCAACACCACCTTCTTGAGGTATGATACATGGTTTAAAATAAGATAAGAACTTCTCGGTCTCATGGCCCTGTACTTCACGATACTGAACAGCACGTCCTCCAAGTGCTGCATCCAATTCAACTGTTTTGATGGCAGCAGTACCTGCTTCATCCTATTTTAACATAGTGGTGGTCACAAAATCACAATTATATGCCATGATATTAATAGCACAAGAACTAGAATAAAATATTAACAAGGACTTACCTGAGAAGTATCTTTACCAAGCCAGTAGTGGATATCATGACGTAAGGCGCCACTTTTTGAGGCAGTTGTCTACACAAGAGAAAGGTAAAAATTATGTATAATAACCTAAATTGACAACAGTGCAGGGCATCGACCATTCAAATTTGAGGCAACTAAAAATATACCAAAGACTTAATGGAAGTAAAAAGTGATTCCAGACTTTAACCCTGGTCCAGGATATCCTATACAAAAAGCAGTGTTATATTTGCTAAAACTGTCTTTTCCCAATTAATATGCCATTAAATTTTACAGTCAGGAAATTCAAATAACACAGTTGGGGTGTCGGTTTTTGCTTCAGTTTGTTCACCCATACACATACATATATGAATTCATGTAGTTCAAGAAAAGAACAAGAGATATATAAAAAAAATCCAACAAAACAATGAATCAGACTTCAGCAATATGCTATGTATGGGAGCATTGTAAATCTTCTATTCTGATTATGTATCTAAAATCTGGAGTACCATTTTGTTAGAATTCTAAAGTCCATATGGAGACAACATGAAAAACAAAAAGGAATAACTCATTCAAATTCAGTATCATAAGCCTTTAGAACTCCAGCACTGTCGATCAAAAGATTGAGTTCAATGTGTAGTTGACATTTTAGTTTCTAACATCATCACAAGAGAATTAATAATTAACCGGTTTCTGCAAACAACATCAGCTAGTAAAAGAATAGTTTCCTACTCCAATTGATAACCAGGAAAGAATAATTCAAATAATACAGATCCAAAATTACAAAAGAAAACTGTTAATCAAATGGAGATATAGTAGACTGCCAAAATCACCAATACATTCATTAAGGTATTCCTCATTATGTTGTAAAGTAAATGTTTGGTGCCATCAATCTACTACGTGCGTGGTGCTGGTGGCGAGGGCGAGGAGGAGGAGAGCTTTGAGAGGAGGTCAGCAAGAAAATAATTACGAAAGGAAAATTTAGCTCAAAAAGAAAAAAAATTCACCTCTACACTCTGCTCCCCAAACCAAGTTCCAATGAGGTATTCCTCATTATCTTCTCCAGGATAAGAATACTGGAAAATGAAGCAATCCCCACTATAAAATTTTGACTGATCGGCAGCTGGAAGGAGAATCTTTTCCTGACCATTTACACGCCAAACCTGTGCAGCCAGGAGGGGAAAGAAACATAAGAACAGGCCTCCTGCCAAGCTAAGAATCCCAGCTTGTCAGCCAATCTCATACAGCACTGTATACGGAAACATAATATTGAAAGATAGGAACCTGCAGATTTCCGGTGCAATCAATGAACGGTTGAGGTTCTTCTTTAATAGGCTCAGCTTTCAACAAACCCCTAACATTGACCCCCTGACGTTTTAAAAGAGCTGCAAAATCAATGAAAAGATAGCAATGATAAGCATCTCAAGACAATGATTATGAGAGAATATAATGATTATAATCTCCTGGAATATTTTATATTGCAGGGCAAAAGCATTTCAAGAATATTTGTGAACTGACCAGCAACTTTGCCTCTACCATCTTCAGAGACAGTCACATTAGTTGTCTGTGGCCAGGAATCAAACTTTGATTTAAACATAACTGTCTCAAATCCCTCAATTACACGAATTATGTGAGATTTTGATCGATCGGCACTTTGGAGTAACTCCTGTTCAGAGAGATCAGAAGTAATACGAGAGTGAATTGGGTATGTCTATCAAGATTTAGCAAAACGTATTTGACAAAGGATTGCATATTACTTCTGCAGCGCCACTGGCACTTTTTCTTTCATCAAGAGATGTAGTTCTCCCCATCCACACAAACATTTCTATGCCACAATCTAGAAGATAGCACTTGTTTGTTTCTAACAACTCCCTTGCTAAGGAATCAGCCTCAACAGGTTCAGCCTGCCCCTTGTTAACACTTAAAAAGCAAACATATTTCTGTCAGAACTAAAGCACTATCGAGTCTGGTAACACATTTTTAAACGTAAGAATTCATTTCACTAACTGCATACTGCTATCTGATTTCTATCTGTTTTGCAACTTTTTCTCTGAAAATATAAAAGAAAAAGATTTTATTGCTCATATCATGGAGAAGTTATTCAAATAAGAAATTAAGAAGCAATATGTACATTTTATGCTCTTTTTTTATTTTTTTTAATAGAAATAACTCCATACATACAGAAACACATCTTCCAATTTCTATAAAATGACCACCTAAAATAAATAAATAATAATTAGATGGAGATAAATACGCAAATGCAAACACACATATATTTAAATTTCTGTTAAAATGACAACCTTAGACAGAAATAACGAGACACCATTGCCAAAGAGATCAAACTAACTTTCAGTAAAAAAGGAAAGGACAAACAAAATGATAATTACCAGTATAGCTTAGTAGTATGAGAATCAAGAGTCTTATCCTCATCAACAGCCGTTTTCCTGGGCAGTGGAGCAAAGCCACCAAAGAAACCCCAAAATTCTCCAGTTTCAGCATCAGCCATCAACTTTCCATCCTCTAAATTAAAGGTAAAACATTAGGCTCAACAAAGAGAGCCATTTGAGTGTCAATTTCATACTTTAAATCCAGAAATTAACTTACCAATGGCAGCTACTTCACATTTTCCATCATGATAAGTATCTTTAATGTACTGTACAACTTCAAGAGCCTTTGCTCTCTCTTGAATAGATGAATTGGAACCATTAAATTGAAATATCTTAGACTGAGTATCTAGAATAAATATATCATCATGACTGAGAGATGATCGAGCAAAAGGAACCTGTCACCAAAAAAAAAATTTCACGAAGAGAAACCATATATAGATAGTCATCGTGTAGAATAGTCTCTAATCAGTACAGAAGTTATGCTTATAGACTTGCCTCTTTTACATGAACAACGTGCTTTCCTCTGCAAACAAACATACGTGTTTTATGTTCTTCAGCCTCAGCATGTTTAAAACCAGATGCAACACCACCTTCTTGCGGTATGATACATGGTTTAAAATAAGATAAGAACTTCTCGGTCTCATGGCCCTGTACTTCACGATACTGAACAGCACGTCCTCCAAGTGCTGCATCCAATTCAACTGTTTTGATGGCAGCAGTACCTGCTTCATCCTATTTTAACATAGTGGTGGTCACAAAATCACAATTATATGCCATGATATTAATAGCACAAGAACTAGAATAAAATATTAACAAGGACTTACCTGAGAAGTATCTTTACCAAGCCAGTAGTGGATATCATGACGTAAGGCACCACTTTTTGAGGCAGTTGTCTACACAAGAGAAAGGTAAAAATTATGTATAATAACCTAAATTGACAACAGTGCAAGGCATCGACCATTCAAATTTGAGGCAACTAAAAAAATACCAAAGACTTAATGGAAGTAAAAAGTGATTCCAGACTTTAACCCTGGTCCAGGATATCCTATACAAAAAGCAGTGTTATATTTGCTAAAACTGTCTTTTCCCAATTAATATGCCATTAAATTTTACAGTCAGGAAATTCAAATAACACAGTTGGTGTTAATGAGAAAAGAAAAAAAAAATACTAAAGTCACAAGCTTCAGAGTCTGTCATCATAAACCTACCTTCCAAATCAACCAATTTATTGACATCTTCTATCTTTATTAAGGACAAAGCGAAAACAAAAGTAAGTTTCTAGTGAGAATATGTTAGTTTGGGAAAAAGAGTTTAAAGATAAGTGAATAACAGATTTATATGACATCAACACGGCCAAGCTAATAAAACCAATTTGCCACCGGGATATAATTTACAGCATACCACCAAGAAGGCTTAGCGGGAAATAATATCTGCAAAACAATCATCTTAAATATAAAGCTACTGAAAGTGAATTTGGCTGTTCTTTTTTCTAATAGATGACATTGCAAAATAATCATCTTAAATCTAAAGCTACTGAAAGTGAATTTGGTTGTTCTTTTTTCCAATAGATGACATAGTGCAGGTATTGTCCAGTTCTTCAAATCATATGTTGGATGACAAAGTGTCCATTGAGTTGGACTCATACATTGGGCAAAAGAACTTAATTCATGTCAAAAGCTCTTTGTAATATTTTTTGTGTCAATTGGTTGCAACTCAAGAAAAGTGTACCAGTGACTAAAGAAGTTGTTCTATGTATAATACTTATTTGTGCTTTTCCATTAAGCTCTTTTTTAGCTTTTTTAAAGTTTTGAAATGTCCCCATTTAATTTTAAAATTTTCATTTTATCCTTTCTTTTTAATAAAACCCTTTTTGATAGTTTACCATTAGAAAGTTCTTTTACATTTACATAACCAATCAACCAACAAACTTTTCAAAAAACCCTATTTTTTGTATAAGATCTACTTTAATAAGCTCTACTTGAATAAACCATACCAAATTGACCCAACAAAACAGATGTACAGTAGTTGCTAAATCTAGTAGAATACAGCAATTTCTCATGATGCATGGCACCACATGTGGCTGAAAATCATAAATGCTAGAAATGATTATCATGATATATTTTGACCCTATTAAGTTGTTTGAATTCTAGATTCTATTAAATAAAATCGAAAAATCTGAATAATTAGATGGCATATTAGAAGTTCAGTCTAATCTGTTCAAGGCATGGCAGAAATAATTTGTCATCATCTTATGTACGATGTCCAAGGGCATATTAATCCCAGGAAGAAACAACACATATCACTAGCAAGTGGTTCAGAGTTTTGATTACTGTACTATAAAAAGAAATCAACGGAAAACATCACAGATCAAAACTGTCTCCACTTTTCGTATTTCCAGTAGAAATAAAAAGTTTCAATTAAAAATAACATAAACCCGGGGAAAAAGCAATGAAACAACTTTTCAGTACCTGCCAAGGAGAGAATTTTGGTTTCACGATATCAGCTATAAGATAACAGGAGGTTTTACAGTTCTACCATACTGCTCCCTTTCTGATGGTAAATATACAAATTTACAGACTAGGGAAAAGGTACTAGGCACAGGTATATGCTTAAAATCAGATTTACTGTACTAATACATCTTATACCACACAAACTCAGCTATAAAAAACATGGTTTTGCAAGTACTTGCTATAGCATTCCATTAGTTACAAAGGAAAAAGAAAAAAGAAAAATACACGACTATAGGCCAAAACAATGAATAACTATAGCATTGAACTCAAATAAAATGTCTGTTACAACTTAAGCTCTATAGATAAGCATGAAGAGTACAGGTTTAATCATTAAATAAATATTTGTTATTGATAAGCAACAACAGATTTGAATACATTAAGAAACAAAAAAACATGTATTACTGATGATTGAAAAAAAAGATACAATTATGGAACAGCAGACCACATTGAAGACAAAAAACAATAAACAAGATTGAGATAGAGTTCACATTTCTTGTAGGGGATAATTATGGCAGAAAGACATTTGAGGAACACAATTGGAACATAAACAACTTACCTTCAAAATCACATACGAATCCCCAGTGAAAAATTTCCCACAGGAGGACTTTGGTACAGGAACAGGCTTGAAATTTTCAATCCACCATATTTCAATACCACTGTACATTGTCAAGGAGAATAATAGATATACAAGAGCAATTCAAAATGCTATGTATCAAAGATAAGCAACAGCAGCATGCAGCACGGTTTGAGTTAGCATCTCTATAACTTTTTAGTTATATTGAAAATATAAAACTTCCAGATTATTATATCTAAAGAAACTAAATTTGTTGGCTATGACGATTTCTACAATGCGTATCAGAAGATGAAAGGATACGCTTTTTGTCCAGCTCCCTGGAAAGCTGAATCTAAATCTCTCATGGAAACAGCCATTAAATTCTTGTAGCTTTAATTATTTGATTTTACACAACCTTGGCTCAAAGATAGGAATAGAGGTAACCTGTAAAATAAGTGACACTGATAAAGACAAAACAGAAAACTAAAATAAAATAGGGAGCAGAAACTGCATAGCAATTCATGGAAAGTATTCTATAGATGGAAGACAAGTTGCTAGCTGAGAAACCATCTTTTCATACTTTCTCTTTTTTCCAGGTAAGAAATTTTATACAAGGACGCTAAAAGGAGCACTAGCTGAGCACACAGGGCAAATGCAAAAGAGAAATTGATGTCAATAATAATACTACTGAAGAGGCAGAAGAAAAACTATTGAACCAAAATATAAACCGTCATATGCTTATGTTCATCTATTCCCCCAACAAGTACACATAACCAAAGAAACATCTTTCTACAACAAAGCATGCTACACAGAAGACTCCTAACAAACACTCACAGAAAAATTTGAACTTTAAATTAACCTAATTGCCACACTTTTTCCCCCCTCCCTGCTTCCTAAACTAAGAAAATGTGATATAATTGAGTTTAATTCAATTACTTCCTCAAATTAGCACTAAAAATTTATCATCAACTTATACACCAAGAAAACTAATTAATATTTCCATAAAGCTTTCACAAGACACAAAGCCTGGGGAGTGATGAATCATAATCACAAACCCAATTTTCAACTCTTGCAGCATAGTAAGACATTGCAGACTCACAATCCAAAGTCCTTAAAATCCGAAGATTCTTTCTTGAAATACTTGAATTCACAGAGCACCATAGAACTACATCGACAGCAGCCTAGGTAACACACCCAACCATAAGAGAAATTCTTATAATTCAACTTTGGCACTAGAGCATGACGTGGCATTCAAAAAATATATCAACTTTAGAGTCCAGAAGCAACGAGAAAACCAAACAGAGCTTCTTAAGAGTTGCCAATTAACTCCATCTACATCTACTGTTTCAGCCAATTCCATTAAAGCTAATTAACTTTGAGCCCATCTAAATAAGTCCTTTCATTAAGGTCTTAGCAATTGTTGTTTATTTAATGTCAGGGCAACCTCACATGGTGGTGTAACAATCAATAACCAACCCCCAATAAATGACCAGTAAGTAAAACTACAAATACAGGCACGCAAATAAATGACACTCAAAACCAAGACAAAGAAAATCACCTAAACTCAGAAGCAATCCAAACAAATTACAAATACAGAGCATATTCAATATTTTTTTTTTCTACATACGCAAAACCCAGAAACCATATTGTACAGTACACACATAAACCCACTCAAACTAAAAAAAAAAAAACAAACGAATATAGAATAATTAAAAAGGAACTACACAATCCCGAGATATTGATGAAACCCAGAAAGCAATGTAATTACATCGAAGTAAACAAGCAAAGGAGCAAGCAGATCACTAAAATTCCAATCCCAACACAGCAAAGACCCACAAATCAGATCAAAATTCCCACAAATTCCAACAAAATAAACACAATTCTACAAAAAAAAATTTACCAGTACCCAGATGCCAAACAGGTGAAAAACACAAAAACGGAAGAATCATTACCTGAAAATCGACAAAATCGAAAAAAAAAAAAGGGGGGGCAAGAAGGCAGATCGAGTATAAGTGAAATGAATTAAAATTGACAGGGGAAAAAATAAAAAAGGGGGAAATGGGAAAGTAAAGGGTGACAGAGAGGAAGAGAAATATAGTGGGGCTAAAGAGAAGACAAAAGGTGGAGAGAGAAATGGAAGATGGAGGGAGGGAAGAATGATGATGAGTTGCCTGCCAGGCGTGCTTATCACTAACCGCAACACAAAAACCCCACCCCACAACACCACATCAACTCTGTTATTTGCATTTAATTATTCATTTTCGTATCGTAATGCTGCTTATCAAATTCAATGGAGACTGATTTTCATTTTGAATAAATCTTAGAATGATTCGGTTTATATTATATTTGTCGTCATCAAAAGTTTAACTTCAGTAAAATCTTTAAAAGATAAAAAAAAAAAAATTAAGAACTGAAAATAAAATTTAAAAGAAAAATTACTCAAGGTTAATTCGTGTTCTACTCCAATCAAATCGTTAAGAGATTAAAAAATCAACCAGTTCTAAAAATAAATATATTAAACAAGATAAAAGTAACATTTTGGAGAGGATAACAGTAGAGATTCTTGGAAAGAATATATTTATAATTCAATCAATAAAAAATTAAAAAAAAATTACACCCATATCCAAACAAATCCAAAAACAGGTAAAGAGTTGTTAAAATTGTAAATAAACAAATTAGAAAGGAAAAATACCTTAATAGATTGATTCAATCCAAATCTCAGACTTCAAAAATCTTTATTAACTTGTATAAAACACCAGTCGTAATTATTACTGTTGGGTAAAAATTTGTCGTTTTACGGTGTTTGGATTGAGGGTAAAAGTCATAATGTCTGTTAGGTTTGCACTTTGAATGGAAAGTGAATCAAGAACAAAAAAGAAGTTAAAAATAAATAAATAATAACTCCAACAAAGAAAAGGGGGCACCTTTATAGCTGTTTCTCCAATTCCTTCCAACAAATTCTTGGGATTCTTTCAAAATCAAAAATTTAAGTTTTGCATGAAGCTATTTTTTAATCATTTTTAAAAAAAAAAATTATTTTTTTATATAATTGAAAATTGTGGAAAATTAAATTAAATTAAAGAAAGAAAATAGAGTTTATGGTTGGTGATTAGAGAGCTGACTTCCGCATTGTGAGGATTGGATTGAGAATGAAACGAGGGGAAAATTAAAATACACCCCTTGTTTTCATTTCTTTTTTTTTTTTTCTTTTTTTTTTTATTATAAATCTCAGCTGATATAAATATTTTATAAAGGGCTTAATTAGGTTAATTTAGAATAAAGAAAGAAAATACTGACCATGCTTTAATTTTTTTTCACTATTTATTAAGAAAAGGAATCTAAATCGAACATATAATATTGTCGTACCAATAATTTATATTTCAAAGAAATTTTTTTTTTTTATAAGAATTCTTAGTTGTTTAATTTGTTTTATAAATGGAGGTTAATTTAGAATAATTTAAAAGAGTGAGAAAATATAACACATGTTTTAAAAAAAAAATTCTATTTTTTATTAAAAAAATCATAATTATTAAATTCTAAATCAAAGACTGAATTGAACCAATAATACTATCAATCTGTTATTATAACATTACCCTAAACAACAGTGAGAAAAACAGCCCATATTTTAAATTTTTTTTCCATGTTTTCTCTATTAAATTTATAGTTTTATTACAAATCCCAGTTTTTTTATAGTTAGAAAATCAAACCCATGTTTTCTTTTTTCTTTTGTTTCTATTTTTATTAAAAGAATCTACATTATTAATTTCTTAATCAAAGACTTAATCGAATAAAATATTATTGACCAGTTACTGTAATGTTATCCCAAAAAGAGAGTGAGAAAACCGTCCATGTTAAACCCTACACCATAAACTCTAAATATTATCATATATAATCTTAATTCTCAAAATGTCAATATTTTGTTTAAATAATAGATTTAACCATAAAGTCATACGACTTGATTTAATTGTCCTTAACAAAAATTATAAAGACAAAAATAGTGAGAATACATTAGACTATCAAATCAAAATAGTTGAAATATACTAGGCTATCAAATCTAAGGGTATCTAAAATAGTCTAACATGCTTAAATGATATTGTTAAATCATGCAGTTAAATTCTAGACTTAACCTAGACATCAAGTCTAGCATTATATATTAAAAATATACCATTTGTTGTTTAGTTAAAGATATATAGTTGATAAGTTATTGAATTTTATGGTTAGATTTATCTCTTAAATAAATGTATATTTTGAAGGAAAAAAATGTGATAACTGAGTAAGTTATATATGTCCAAACCTTTTTTTTTACATATTTTTTTAGGCCGAACGAATTATGCATACCCAAGGTTTGTTGAACAAACAAGTGGTACCCAAAAGGTTTGAAACGACAAATAGATACCTTCTGTCATGGTGTTAGTGATTTTCGTTAGAAAATAGTGAAAAGACAAAATGCCTGAAAGTTTAATTTTAGTTTTTATATATTTAAAATTTCTAAAAAACTCCTAGGTTTGCTAATTCGACTAAACACCCCAATATATAAAATTTATATAAATACCACAAAACACCCGCCACCTGCAGTGCCAGATTTCGGCCACCACCGCGGAATCTGGCCGGAAAATTACGTTCGACACAGACCCATCGGATCTGTGTCGTAGCGCGTGATCTTTCATTTTCCGGCAAGATGTGGCTGATCTTGCCGGAAAAGACCAGATCTACGGCCAGATCTGGCCGTCGAGACGGAAGCTTGTCGAAAAATTGTGTACGACACAGACCCATCGGATCTGTGTGTAACACCTCGATCTGGCGTTCCGGCCAGATCCGTGGGATAATCTGGCGTCGAGCGAAAAAGGCCAGACATAGATCTGGCCCTTCCGGCCAGATCCGTGGCAGATCTGGCCGGAAAAGGCCAGATCGGTGTGTTACGACACAGATCCGATGGGTCTGTGTCGTAACACAATTTTCCGGCTAGATTCCGGCGGTGGTGGCCGGAATCTGGCACTGTGGTGGCGGGGGTGTATTTGTTATTTTATAAATTTTTTATATATTGTGGGTATTTAGTCAAATTAGCAAACATAGGGGGTTTTTTAGAGATTTTAAAAAACATAAAATTAAACTTTTAAGGGCATTTTAGTCTTTTCACTATTATCTAACGAAAAACACTAACAGAACATGACGGAAGGTACCATTTGTCGTTTCAAAACCTTTTGGATACCAAGTTATCGTTTCGCAAACGTTGGGTATGTAAAGTCGTTTCTCCCTATTTTTTATAAAAGAACATCAATTCCCTAAATTTTAGTCAAAAATCAATGACCGGGCGAGTGATAAACCATGTTCCAAGAAGGAAACTAGAAAAACTGGAAAAAGTCGTGTCACCGGCATCATTCATGGCAAGTCCATAAAGGCTAAGCGAAAGGTGGGGGCCGCCACTTTTAGATTCTGGTTTTTTTAATTATAATTTAGTTTTACTTGTATTATAAGTTTATAATTTATCTTTTTCAAAAGAATTGACAGATTGTATTTGAATATGATATTTTCTATCTCTTATTCGGGATGCCCTTTTTGGGAGGAATATTCTTTCTTTTCTTAGTTATGATTTTAATATAATTTTAGTATTTTAAAAATGAATAATAATATCTAAATAGGCTCATCTATCAATTATTTTGTTATGGAGTACCCTATAATGTTATTAGGGGTGTAGCCGAGTTTGAGCTCAGCTTGACTTGGTACAGTGTCAAGTTTGTTCGAACTCGTCATATTCAACCAAAAAATTCGATTGCAAAATTAAAAAAGTGGGAAATCAAGAGGTATTTTTTTTTTTTTTTTATTTGTGAGCTCAAACTCGATACTGTAACAACTGGCAAGATCGATTGTTTAACTCGCCACCAACTCAAGTTTTCCTGTTGCTTAATTTAATTGATGTGTGTGTTTTATTTTTTTTGTCTGGGGGTTTTTTTTCTTTGTTTTTTGGGGGGGGGGGGGGTGGGTGGGGGGGGGGCGTGTGGGGGGGGGGTTGGGGGGGGTTTTTTTTTTGTGTGGGGGGGGGGGGGGGTGTGGGGCGGGGGTTGGGGGCTGGGGGGGGGGGGGTGGGGGGGGGGGGGGGGTTTTTTTTTTTTTTTATTTGTGAGCTCAAACTCGATACTGTAACAACTGAACCAAGATCGATTAGTTTAAAACTCGACTCAACTCAACTCGTTTACACTCCTGATATTATTAGTTTCAAAATGCTTACAATTAGATCAAAAGCTATAATGGTTAGCATATGCATAATCTTTTTTTCTTAAACCATCAGTTTAACGCCCATAGTTTTAGATAACTCAATCTCTTAGCATCTATCACGACAGGATGTTGACCGACCTAATCAATAGATTTTGTTGAATACCATCTACTGTATAGATGTTACGAGGAATTCTATGCTTTAAGGGACCGTCAATCTTAACTATCACATATAATTTATCATTTTAGGATGATCGTCGTGATGTTTAAGTGAAAGTGACGGCTAACAAGTATTATATTTTGTTAAATCAATGATTAGTCGTTAATCCTTAATTAATGCGCATTTTAAAAGAATCATATAATATCTACACCTAATTATATAAATACACACACTGAAATCTCTAAAAAATAATTGGTATGTATATAAGAAGTAAAGATGAGTATGGAATCAGTAAAGCAAAAGTGGTAGTAATAGTATCATCAGCAAGTAATGATGATGATGTGGAAACTCATAAAACAACTTCTTCTTCTCCTTCCATTCCATGCATGCACTATGACACAAATTGGAAGTGGCAGACCACAAAACCTTTGATTTCAAGTAGAATCATAAGCAAATTATTCCTTTCTTCATGTTTATCTTTGGACACATCTTCACCATTTTTGCTTTATTGTCATCTTTCAAAATATATGACAAATTCAACTACAGAAGCTAATAGTTTTACAAATATTTGTAAAATCAGACATGAAATTATCTGTTCTGTTTTCTTGCATTACATAAAAATAACAAATGGCATGTTATCATATCATAAGTTTTATTTGTAATTTTCTGTGTGTATCACATTTGAAAATATTTTAGAATATCAATTAAATTATAGGGAGAATATATATAGGTTTGACTAATGAAACATTCTACCGTATAAATAACAAACAAAACAAGCCATTTTATTAGCTTATATTTAGATTATAAAAAGAGTCAAGCCCTAATAATAGCCATTTGTAGATAACTTTTTCATTAATTCTA